CCGCAGCCTAAGACAGCCATCAGACCATACCCTTCAATGTCGCATCTCTGTTATCTAGGTCTCTAGCATGATAAAAAGACAAGGGTATGCTCATGCGCATGACCAATCAGATTTTTGTCCTTGCTTACGTCACAACGAGTGGCTTACGCCACTGTTCAGCAATTTCAGATTGTTTTGGAAAGGTAAAATATTTAATTTTACTTCCCTCAGTTTTTTTTGTTTTTTTTCATATAATTGCCGCATCCTTTCACTATGCAGGTCATCGTGAAAATATTTTTAACATTAACTTCTACCGATGACAACGTGCACTACGCCATGGACGCCATGATAAATTACGACCGATAACCACCGATTGCACCCGAATCAGAACCGACCAATCAACGCATACCCGAATATGACGTAAGCAAGGACATGCGCAAGCTGAACGAGTTTTAGACAATTGATGAGCATACCCTTGTATTTTTATCATGGTCTCTAGTGTCGACTTGTGTCATCAAATGGAAAGCACCCGTTGATAACTGAAAACTTTAGAAAATAATAATATACCTATATAAAATAATATAATAATAGAATCCATATAGGATCACATGCACGCAGGCACACATACATTTTTTGTAATACAAACGATGCGAATAATGTGAACAATGCGAACAATGTGAACAATGCGAACCATGCGATGCATTGTCGCCGCATTGAGGTTAACTACAACATAAGAAGAGGGAGAAGACTACTAACGCCATATGTCGGACGGCGACACATAGGGGGTCACTTTTTTAATATGGAAAGTATATAAGGTCTATTCTTTTTGGCTGAACTTTTGCACCAGTTCATCTTTCTTCCTTTTCTCTCCAGGAGGAAAGAAGAGGAAAAAGATAAACTGATGCAAAAGTTCAGCTAAAAAGAACAGGCCTATTGAGTCGGAGGGGGCTGGCCACAACGTACGCGCATGTGACCAAAATATTTATACGCTGCATCTCGTCAGTATGACGGATTTTCTAAATTTTCTAAAAACTTTTACGCTTAATATCTCGGTTTGTAGGGTTGACCTAACATTTTTTTCTCACAAATTCTTTCGTTTCGGGCAAAAACGCGTCGAATAGGCTTAATTTCATCAAAATCGGAGGTGCAGTCCGTGTTCTAAATAATTATCAATTACATGAAAAATTGTGAGAAAAATTTTCACCAAAGGTAATCTGTAAGGGCTGCCGTACACACCTTCCGTAAAGGCTCGTCTACAATACACGGAGTAAGAAGTAAGAGTAAGAAATTGACCAATCACAGTCGATTATTCTTCTCACATTCGACTGTGATTGGTCAATTTCTTACTCTTACTTCTTACTCCGTGTATTGTAGACGACGCCTAACAGTAATCATAAGACATATCATAAGAATTAGCCAATCACAGTCGAAAATTCTTTTGAACTCTTAATTCTAATTGGCTGATACTTACAGTACGGCTTAGGGCCATTCCACACAAACTTGCATAACCATATGCATAAAGAAAATTATCCAATCACATTTCTGTCATAAAGACAAACGTAAAATACGATTGGATGATTTTCTATATGCATATGTTTATGCGGCTATGCAAGTTTGTGTGGAATGGTTCTTATGGTTACTGTTACGGAAGGTGTGTGTGGCAGCCCGGGTGGAACCCAGTTGGACACGGCTCAATTGGACACGAACCACTCACAACGCTTGAGACTACAAAGCTCCTAAGCACCGGTCGCTGTGACTGGTGGTGTCCAATCGAGCCGTGATCAATCGAGATCACCCCCAGCAGCCCTAAAGGCGCGGCTTCAATGGAGATCCGTAACCATAACGTGAGGCGTCGTCTACAATACACGAAGTAAGAAGTAAGAGTAAGAAATTGACCAATCACAGTCGATTATTCTTCTCACATTCGACTGTGATTGGTCAATTT